GGACCAAATTGAATTCTGGAAAAAGCATTTTGAAACCCACTCTTGGGCCACAGTGAGACTAACCCAGAGTGTTCTAGAAGGAAGGCTACTTCTGGAAGGTCTTCCAGATTCACTGAAATCTGCACAGGAAAGGGAGGAATGAACGGCCCAGGCCTAGAGGGTCGCCTGCTTCCCCATCACTCCTCACCTGCTCTGCCACCCTGACCAGAGGATTGTGTTCCCAAAGTTCCAGAGGAACATTCAAAGTATTTGTGTCGAAAAGCAGTTCTGAGGTTTACTGAGTTTGGAGAGCTCAGAGTTAAAGGCAATTTAGCAGACTTGTTGACTTGGCCATAGACCATGATTTTTGAGAGCCGAGCTTCTTGGGAGAAGTGTTCGGCAGAAGCTACCTTGAGCAATACTGGCCCACAGGAGCTGGGAAGAAGTCTCACCAACTCTGATGTAAAAGAACATAGGAATCTTTCATCACCCATGGGACAGTACAAACAGGTGTCAGCGAGTGCATACGATGGGTACTTTCTAGAACTCTCTATGAACAGAAAACCCTTTGGCAAGGAAAAGTTCTCATAATAGGGATTCAGAGGAAAAAATGAATTGAAAAAAAAAAAACCACTTATTATTTAAAAGTCGCAAAATTTCCAAACCAACCCTATATGTAGGTGTTCAAAATCTTTGAAACAATTGGTGAGAGTTGTCTTTTCGGTGCCCCAGAGTTTTATCTGTAAAACGGGGACAGTAACGCCTACATCTCAGGGTGGTCGTAAGGACAAAGGGGGACAGCACATGTAAAGGTACTGGCACGCCGCGTGAAGCACCCAGACACTGCTTTCCCCCTCATTATTATATGTCTTTTCAGAAGTAATCAAAGTGGTGATTTCCTTTGTTGTACAGGTTTCTAAGAAGGTGGTGACAGGTCCATGTTAAGAGCATCTGGGGGAATATTCTCAAAATGTGTGAGCTCAGGCTCCTACTCAGCTCTGGTGAGTCATGATTTAATGTGGTGACAGAGGAGGATGCACACATATTTTTAAGCTTCCCCTGCAGTGATTATGAATATACCCCAACACCGGTAATACATGTGTAGCAAATTCTTCAGTGCTGATCCCATCCCTCCTGTAGTAGTTCTGGGATGTATTCCTTTTTTTTTTTTAATTTATTTGACAGAGTTAGAAAGTGAGAGAGAGAGAGACAGAGAGAAAGGTCTTCCTTCCATTGGTTCACTCCCCAAATGGCTGCTATGGCCGGTGCTGTGCCAATCCAAAGCCAGGAGCCAGGTGCTTCTTCCTGGTCTCCCATGTGGGTGCAGGAGCCCAAGCACTTGGGCCATCCTCCACTGCCTTCGCGGGCCACAGCAGAGAGCTGGACTGGAAGAGGAGCAACCGGGACTAGAACCTGGCACCCATATGGGATGCTGGCGCTGCAGGTGGAGGATTAACATAGTGCCCCATGGTGCTGGCCCTGGGATATATTCCTTGTACTAAAAGGTTTCTGTCGTTACGTGTTTGGAAATACAGCATACTATCACCTGCCCCTTCTCCTCCATGGAGCTTATTAAAACATCAGAGAAATTCTGGAGTACACAATAGTTGAAAACTTGTAACCTACAGTCTTCTGATCTTATTTGACCTTGCAGCATTTATTTTTCTTGCAATTCTCATCAAATTCTTCATGCAACACACTGGGGAAATTCTATGGCATAGAGTTAGCCAAAGTGAATACTAGCCATATTAAATCTTTCTTTGTGCTAGATACAAAGGAGAGGCAAGGTAACAAAGAGCAATTAAAGCTCCTCCTCCCCAGGGAGTTGGTTGAGCCTACATTTATTCTTCCTGCCACCTGCTACTTATGTACAGAAAGAATACTGCAAGTGATAAATGTGTGGTTGGAAGAAAGCATCTTTGGGTAAACTTGAGGTGACAGGGAAGGGTCAGGGACACGTGAGTTGCTGTAGACTTGGCGAGCTTGGGCCTGGGATAAAACTGCCTTTGAATCCTGGCTCCAATGCATCCCAGCTCAGTGGCCTTGGGCAAATTGTGTGAGCTCTCTGTGGTCCAGTTTCCTTTTGTGAAAATGGGACAATAATAATCTCTATCTCATTAGATTGTTATGAGGATAAACAAAGCAGTCATGCAAATCCCTCAGAATGGGCTCAATAAAAATTAATTGTTGGGGTTGGTGTTGTGTTTCAGGGGGTTAAACTGGCACAGAGTTGGCACTGGTGAGTCCTGGTTGCTCCACTTCTGATCCAGCTAATGTACCTGGGAAAGCAGCAGAGGAAGGCCCAAATGCTTAGGTGCCTGACACTCACATGAGAGACCCTGAAAAAGCTCTAGAATCCTGGCTTTGGCCTGCCCCCCCACCCCGAGCTATTGTGGCCATTTGGCAGATGGACGATCTCTCTCTGTCTCTCCTTCTCTCTGTAACTCTGCCTTTCAAATACATAAGTATTTATTTTAAACAAATTCATTGTTACTATTGACAGGGAAAAATGCACTTGAGCAAAGGAGAAGAGTCCAGAACTGAAACACAAGAGAATTCTGCAAACCTTCAGCTCAAACAAACTTCCTTTGTTTCACCTCTTTGTCTCTCGCTCTCGCTCTCTCCCTTCCACTCTCGCTCTCTTGCTCCCTCTTGTTCTCTCTCCTTCCCTTCCTGCCTCTTTGCAAATGATCATGCCAAGCATCCTTTGAGAATTCAGGGCTAGAGTTCAAGAGACTTATTAAATTGGCTGCTCTGTAGTACTGGAGTGGGAATGACCCTTTCAACCTGCTCTTCATTCCAGTTAAATCCCAAACTATCTAATTAATATGCAAGAAACAGTTTGTGAAATGCTGCCCAAGATGTAAAGTAAAGCCACTGGATAAAATGCAACAGCACTAAAATAACTGCCTCAGAGAGTGAAACTGATTCAGGACTGGATGAAGAGGTTTGGACTGGGGAGCCGAAAGGGAAGTTTGTAAGCAGATACAAGTTTCACTGCTTCTGGAACTTCAAAGAGATGAAATAGAATGAACTAGAAAGTCTTTGAATGCCTTCATGTGGTCGGGCTAAGGTGTCAGTCTTACAGACTCACACGCATGTTCACTTATGTCAACGTGTAATTATATATCTCTTTGCGAGCTATGGATAAAAAGGTGTGACAGTGTCTGGTCAAGAAAGCAGGCTGCAGGGCATTGAGCCCAGAAACAGATAATGACTGCTCGTCTAGAATGACTTTGTGAACTTGGACCAGATCTTATCCTGCCTTTTCATAAACATGGGGTGGACTCAGCCAACGTGGCACAGACAAGCAAAGGAGATAAAATTCAGAGACCAAACCCCAGTTCAGGGGTTCAATCAGAACCTGGAGAACGATGCACAGATGAAGCTGCTGTGACAACGGTAGCACCATGGTGGTCTGGTGGGGGTGGTGGCTTCAGCCCAGGAGCAGCAATAGCTACTGCTTGTTATTTATCTAGCAGGTACTGAGCACTGTACTTTGTTCTTTACTTTTCTTATCCCATTTGGATCTCACAGAAAAATATCGAATAGCTATTATCCCCATTGTAAGGATATAAGATCAGACTTCTGGGGGCTGAATTGATCACACAAAAAGGGTTTTATGAGAACAGTTCATCAGGTGCAGGGAGAGGTAAGGTGAGGTGTGATGAGTGTCACCTCTTCAGAAGTTTCAGTCTAGAAAAATGAACTCCTGCTCACGAGAATTTCAGAGGAAAGACACATTTGCCTATTTTCTCCTACGTCCCCCCATCCATTCAATTTTTCCCCAGCCAGAAGTGGCAGGCTTTTGAAGCCAAGTGATACGAGTCTGTTCTTTCTCACAGTAAGAGAAAGATACCAGAGTAGAAATCAACTCCTGTAAGGAACATTTTAACTGGAAATTAAAATATCACACCCAGTTTCAACTGATCAACACATGCGCCTACAGAAGCCATTGGTGTTAATACCAACTATTTACTGGTCTCTTATCATGTACAGATTTATATGCTAACTAAATCATGTATACATCACTTACTTATCAGGCACAAATCACATCGCCATTTCTCTGTGCAGAAGGTACTGAATTTATACCCGTTTTCCAGATGAAAACTAAGATGTGGGAGGGAAATAACTTGTCTGGAGTGAGTTATCTAGTAAGTTGAAGGGATTGGTCTTTGAACCCGTAGAATCCAAAGTTTGAGTCCCAGACCAGCAAACAATATTGATTTCTTGATAACGTCCAAGATATCATGTACATAAATGTAGATTAAACAAAAATATCCATGATTGCTTCTTGTCCTTGGAGAGGTTTTAGTACTCTTGAGAGGGCAAGGAATGCACAAATGGGAAAACAGCTAATAATGTAAGCTTATTTTTTTCAATAATGGGAAAATGGAATTAAAAGATGTGATTTTGGTGGCAAAATTTCTGAAATCCATGCATAGAAAGGTCTTCAAAATTCATGAAAAATGCACATTATGAAAAACTATGCATGGGTTCCAAAATACTTTTGCATCAAAATAGACTTGCCTTTTAATTCTGTTTTCCATGAGCTTTCTCAAGTATCCACTTACCTTGCTACAGGTTGGGAGGGATCAAAAGACTCTTAGAGAATATTCATGTGAGGAAAGATTGCTAGAGCTGAGCTGGACAGAATGAACAGGGATTGGATGGGCACCGAAGGGTGGCTTGGTCCCAGGGAAATTGAACAACTATGAAACTCCTCAATTTGGAGCAGAGGGCATAGTTTTTTCAATTGAACACATTGAGTTCTGACGAGGAACTCTGAGGTATTCAGTCAATTATTTAGTTCTAAGTGTCAGTTTCCTTATCTGTGATGTGAGGACAGTACACTCTTCAGAGACTGCTTCTGAGAAGATTTACTGATTCTAAAACACCTAAGGGAAGGAGACATCTGCTTCTCTCCCTTCCACCCAGCAGGTTAAGTTAAATTTCCCACTAGGGTCGGCTTGCTACTTCCCTTTGACTTTAACCGTTGAAGACCTCGGAAAGAGCCCTACCTGCTGGGTGAAACCTTTGACAACACGCCGCTGCTTGAGGTTGGTCTCTCCATCCAGGTTAGCGGTTTCCAGGTGGCAGATCCCACTGGGGTCCGAGGAGAAGAGGAGGAGTATGTCCGCTGGGATGACCTCGTTGCACCGCATCTGGACAAAGTCTCCCACTCGCACATCCTTCCAGCACTTCTGCACGTACCTCTGCTCTTTCCTTGGGTGAGAGAAAGATGTGTGTCTGAGTCAGCTTTATTATTACTCAATTAACAGGAGACTAATGCAGGAAGGTCCCACTTATACCTAAGTATATCCCAAGTGAGCTCATCCTAAGATTGCTCAGTATTTTCATTTGCCCCAAATGACCACGAACATGATCTTTCTAGACCAGCTAGGCAAGGTCTATAGAATCTCACTCATAAATGATTTATCTTCATGATTATTTAGAATTTTGGTTGACTGTTGCCTGTTGACCAGGTTTTGTGAGCAGCCCTTTGTTCCCAACAGGAGAAATATTTTAAAAGAGAGGGTAACTCTGCTTTCATAATAACATGATACTCTTAATATATGTGATTTGGGGACAGATGTTAGGCTTAGTCAACAGTAAAGATGTCAGTTAAGATAATAACCATCTTGAACATTTGGGTTCAACTTCTCACATGGGCTCCTGACTCCAGATTCTAGTAAATTCAATCTCTTGGAGACAGTGGAGATGTCTCAGTTGGACTGGGTTCCTGCTACCTACATATGAGTCCTGGATTAAGTTCCTGGCTCTCAGCTTCAGCCTCAGTACAGTCCTGATTGGTTCACTTCCCCCATGCTAGCAACAAAGGATAGGAGTGTTTTCTTTCTCTCTCCATCTTGCTGCCTCTCAGGTAAAGTTAAAAAATTACTTCATCTACCAGAATAGCCATTAATCATTGGAGAAATCAAAGTTGCAAAGAACTGGGATACAGGAAAAATCGTCTCTGAGTACGGAATGATCAGAGTAGGATAGGTGAGGATACTGGCCGTTGCCCTAGAGGATCTGGAGCAGTGCTGAAAGGGAAGACTGGACAGTCTGGGAATTAGAAAGCAGACACCATGAACTTTCACGAGATGGGCCCCACAGTAACCCTAGAATCAGGAGGCTGAGGAAATTATGCACTTTAGCTTTCCATACAGTTTATCAAGCTCAGATAAACAGTCCAGGAATAATTGCAAATTTAGCATTTCTAATGCATGCTGAGTATTAATATTTCATTTACTTGCAAAATAACCACTGCAGTAGATGTATTAATAACATTTCACAAATGAGGAAATAGAAGGTAAAAAAAAAATTCTCAAAGTCTCACAAAAGCAGAGCTGGAACTTGAGCCCAGGCCCAGCTTGACATCAAAGCACCCAGATTTCATGGTTCAGGAAGGCGGTACTTTCAGGTGATACCAGTGCCTTAGCTTTTCCACATCCAGCAAAGGGATTCCTTATTTCCTTAGGCAATACATTCCATTGTCAAGAGTCTCATTTCAGCAAGTCTTCCTTCTGCCCAGTCCAATATTTAATAGGTTCTGTTCTTTAAGGCAACATGGCTTATCCCATCTTCCACTATTCTTGAAATATTTTAAGATGCTCATCAGTTGTCCTAGAAAGCCTTGTGGACATGCAAGTCAAACTTAACTTTCTGTGTATCCTCCAGTACTCCTGTGTAGTACAGTTTTAAGGTTTGACCTGGAGATGTGGGTTCTTCTCAAGTTGCATCTGTCACTCTTAAAATGTAGGATTTGGCATCAAGCCAATATTGCACATGTGGGTGTTTTCTTGAGAAGCAGAGAGAGAGGTAAGGAGGGAGGGAGGAAGCGGGGAGAGAGAACTTGAGTGAGCATGAGCTCCCATTTGCTGGGTCATTCTCCAAACAGCTGTAATGATCCTGGGCAGGGCCAAAACCAAACTCGGGAACTGGGAACTCAGTGTTGGTCTTCCATGTGAGTGGTAGGAAACCAAGTGAGCCGTCACCTCTCACGTTCTGTATTGGCTGCAGTCAGGATGCAGAATCAGAGCCAGAGCCAGGTATTGAGTGTATTGAACCCAGAAACCTCAATATTGCATGTGGGCACCTTAACTGGCATCACAACCAAACGCCTACCTCACGTCTGGTCTTTTTAAACTGAGCCCAGCCGGTCTGATGCTGAGCACCGTCAGGCCTCAAGAGGCAGGCCCTCTCCTGCTGTGTTTTTCCACTGATGCTGAGCCCCTCTGGGCATGTTGTTGTTTCTGTTTCTGCTGGGTTCTGAGCTGCCCTAGGCATGACAGATCTACTCTTCCACAGAGAAAGAGATATGACTGGAATTTCACTTTTCTCCTTTGCTTTCATCCAAGTCTTTGAGGAAGATGAAGGGTTTGGTGCTTTCTTGCTTTCCTTGGGAGGAGCCCTAGGTTAGACATACATAGATTCTATCTTTTGGGTCATCAAAGATCTTCCTGGAGGACCTTCCCAGGTCCCTGAAATGAAGGTGCTTGCATTTGGAAGATTTGATCAGGTTCCATAAAATTATCAGGAACATTAGAATTGGGGAGCACTCTTATAGCTCGAAAGAACCCCAGAGTTCTGCAGAAGTGCCCATGGCTCTGGGGAGCTCAGTACCACAGACATGGATGAGTCAGTGCACTGGCACTATCATCCATGTGGTTCGAGACCACTTCCGGGTATTCTGGGAGCAAGGTGCCTGTAGCATTTTAGTACTAATTCTGCCTTACATGCAAACGCATTTATCAGCTTGCCAAGCACTTTTCAATTGATCAGCTTTTTCTATGTTTCTATTCACCCATATCACTTTTATGTCTATGAACAGGGACAGCCACCCCAGGTGTTTCCCTGTGTCATTTTGGCAATCGTTTGTTTGCTTAAAAACCTGTTTATGTCCTCATGGTAGATACTCTTCTACCAAGAGTGCCATTGTAACTGTTAAACATTTCATGGTCTCTCTGCTGATTCAAAGAATGATTCTATTTTTCCAAAGTGGCCCTGGGAATATCTTTGCAATGTCCAAGGATAAAGCTAAAGTCACTGGAGCTCTTCATACTCTCAATGAGAAAAGAAATCACATGGCATAAAGGGAGGACTGCATTTCCTGTTGCTATTTTTCTTTTAGAGAGGATGTACTGAAAAAGAAAAGGTTTGTTCAACACTGCAGCAAAATTGCTTCAAGAATGAGGGTTCATCACCCAGCTTGCCTGCATCTTCCCCTTCTTCCTCTCCTTTGGCTTCTGTGTCCTATTGGACAGTGCCTCTAGCGATGTGGGAGATCAGTTCATTGTTATCATCTCAACGTCGCACCTGGCATTTGGGATGGACTTCAGGGACAACACCTTTGACTCTGAGAAATATCCCGATGGCCAACACTTCCAAAGCATACCAGTTCCCTGAGGTTTGGCAAATGCTGGTTAGAGCTGCACATAGAGGCACACAGAGTCAAGGTCAACACACCTCTACCTATGGACACCAAATCTCATTTTCTTCTAATAAAGGACTCCACTGCTTATTATGGGTTGTACGTTATTCAAATGACGGGATATAAAGTTAAATTCATGGTGTACAGGTGTCCATGAATAGTCCCTTACGTGAGCTGGGCTGCAGTGTTGTCTGGGCAATTCCTGTCATTATGTAGGCATCACATGGTCAGTGGAGCCACTCTCAAACCAAGCCAGTACAACCTCTCTACATTGTTCCTTGAAACCCAAGCAACTCACAGATAACCTTGTAATAGTTTCTTCTGTCTTTGCTTTGGATGGGACCCTCTCTTCCTTAGGCTGACATGCACTAGTGGAGGGACATTCTCAGTCACTGTTGTGGGTTTGCCTTCCCCAAGATGGTGACTGCCCATCTCCATGACTGTGCACCTCACTCAGAGCTATACACACCCCAGCATCCCCACTGGGTGACGAGCAGTACTGAAGCCAGGGGATCAACATGACTTTGAGGTGTTTACCTTAAAGGAAGAGTTTCTGAGGGGAGGGGGGCATATTTTATTAACTTAGCTGGTACATAATTTGAAGGATTACCCTTATAGGCAAATTCTGTAGGAATTTCAGAGATTTAAAAAAAAAAGGGAGACCAGGGGCCTTGTTTTCTTGCACGTGGCCATTTTGCACATGTCACCCTATTCTCTAGGGCCCACTGTGTCTTCTCAAGTGTGAGGACAGTGTTTATAGAGAAGCCAGGGAGACACAGCCTGAGAGCATCCAGCCCGGGATAGTGATGAGTGGTCAAGTGCAGCGTGTTCCAGCAGAAGCAGCATGCCCCAGCACAGAGTGACACCCAGACGTGACCAGCAGCTGGCTGCGGGCTGCCTGTGAATGTCATTCCCTCACTGATAGCCCATTTGGAACAGCCGTCCCAGGTGGGCTTGCCCACACACTCCTGATCACCCCTCTATTCAGTGAGTCCACACCTGGGAACTCACTGCTATTTTAGCTTCATGCAATGTTCACTGCTGTTTAAAAATAAGACAAATCAACGTGGCTTGGGACAAAGACTCCATCTGGCAGATTCTGCCTCCAGGAGAAATTAAGTGGTGCAGTGCTAAATGGTTTTCAGAGACGAGATAGAGCTTATTAAGAAGTAAATAAACAGCAAGAGAGGTTTGTAACCAACTGGATATCATGGAGGAGCAGGTGAAAGGATTAAAATGGAGGAGAAAATGCTTAAGGCTCCATTTCTCAAGTATCTGAGTGTCATGAAAAAAGTGTTTCAGGCAAGTAAATTAGGGGGGATTTTTCACAAGGCCTAGGGTCTTGTGCAACTTCCTATTCACAATAGGCTGATGAGCTACCTTGCGACTGCTTCAGGAATCTTGAACCGCAGGCCCAGGATGTTGCCTGGGAGGCTACCCTGGAGGGAATGGGCAGGTCAGAGACAAACAGTGCAGGGTAAGGATTTAGCTTGGGTTTGAATCTCAGCTTCATGGTTTATGACCTGTGTGACCTTGGGAAAGTTACTTAAACTCTCAGAGCCTCTGTTTCTCCAACTGCCCAAGGAAGGCAACATGTGTATTTGCTGCAGGGGGGTTTTCAAAGGACTGATGACAGGGCCCATGTAAAGGCCCCGGGGCTTCCTCCTTAATGAGTACAAGCCGCCTTATGATGGCCAAGACAATCTAAGGCAGAACCACTATGGGTGCTGGTGTTTTCTTTTTTACACAATGCCCACCCCTGGTGTTATCCACTTTATACTACTTAGAT